AGGTCATCTTGGGCTCTCTGGGGCCCTCTTGGAGCCATCTTGGGCCATCTTGGACGCTCCAACGGCCCGCGAGACGCTCCGTCCAAGTCCAGGGGGGGTTGTATTGGGGAGGGGTGAACCCCTCCCCAAAGGGGAAGAGGGAGGGGTGGAAGAGGAAACGCCCCAAACCACCTACGCCCAGAGGGCTGATGGAATTTACATGTGATTCCGCCCCACAGTTCGTCCGACATTGAAATTCATAGTATTATGTCCCCAACCCTCCACCATCAATGTCAAAACTCACTATGCACGTACATCAGTTTGCCATTGACCATCCATGGCCGAGAGTCCTTTGCAAACGCCTGGACGAAGTGCGCGCGTGCGTGCGTCGTCGCGTGCATGCCGAAATCCTTCGAAACCGTGGTTTTCGTAACGATTTCAAAATCGAACGCCCCGAAAGCATACATTATCTTGGCGAAGGACCCAGCCATATGCAGTTGTGACTAACGCAATGGTAAAGACTGTCCTCGGTGGAGCTCCGTATGGGGCCACGCACTTGTGAGGGGTGCGCCGAAACGGGGGTGGAACTGCATGCGAACTTTGCCACTCGGGCCCTCGGTGGAACTCCCTATGGGGCCACGAACCGTGTGAGGCGTGCGCCGAAATGGGGGTCGAACTGCATGCGAACTTCGCCACTGGGGCCTTCGGTGGAGCTCCTTATGGGGCCACGAACCATGTGGGGTGCGCCGACATGGGGGTGCAGCTGCATGCGAACTTTGCCGCTGGGGTCTTCGGTGGAGCTCCCCATGGGGCCACGAACCGTGTGAGGGGTGCGCCGAAATGGGGGTGGAACTGCATGCGAACTTTGCCGCTGGGGCCTTCGGTGGAGCTCCCCATGGGGCCACGAACCGTGAGAGGGGTGCGCCGAAATTGGGGTGGAACTGCATGCGAACTTTGCCACTCGGGCCCTCGGTGGAACTCCTTATGGGGCCACGAACCGTGTGAGGCTTGTGCCGAAATGGGGGTGGAATTGCATGCGAATTTTGCCACTGAGGCCTGCCGTAGAGCTCCATGTGGGGCCACGAACTGTGTAAGGGGTGCGCCGAAATGTGGTGGAACTGCATGCGAACTTTGCCGCTGGGGCCTTCGGTGGAGCTCCCTATGGGGCCACGAACCGTGTGAAGGGTGCGCCGAAATGAGGGTGGAACTGCATGCGAACTTTGCCACTGGGGCCTTCGGTGGCGCTCCCTATGGGGCCATGAACCGTGAGAGGGGTGTGCCGAAATGGGGGTGGAACTGCATGCGAACTTTGCCACTGGGGCCTTCGGTGGAGCTGCCGATGGGGCCACGAACGGTGTGGGGGGCGCCGAAATGGGGGTGGAATTGCATGCGAACTTTGCCACTGTGGCCTTCGGTGGAGCTCCCTATGGGGCCACGAACCGTGTGAGGGGTGTGCCGAAACAGAGACATGCAAGGGGCAGAGGCAAGGAGAGTGAGGGGAGGCAGTGGAGGGAGAAGGAAGGAGGACGCGGGCGCTGTCTCTTCAAATCGAGGACCCAACACCACAGGATGGTGGGGAAAAACACATGGCGTTGCAACATAGATTGTCAAACAAATCAGTGTGCGCTCTTGCGAGGTCTCAAGAAAACCTATGTTCAGGTCGTGCGCAGTGAGAAGTACCTTGGCATTGCATCGGCAGGCATATTCACCGCGATGCACGGTGCGAAGTTCTGCCCTTAGATGTTCTTGAAAACGCGGGTTTTGTTGTTCCCCGTTTTCACTGTAGTTTGTTTCTTCTGTTTCGGGAGCCGGTGTTTCTCCGTGTTGGCCGTCTCGCCGTTTTCGGTTCGTTGTGCGATCCGTTGTCTAATTGTTTTTTCCACTGCCGTTGTGTTTCTGTTTCCCGTTTCTGTCAATGTGTTTCTGTATTGGGTTGCTGTTTTTTCTGTTTTGGGTTGCCGTTTCTCGCTCGTGTCGGGCCCGGCCAGTGTCGTGTTTGTTCTGTTTTGGGTTGTTTGTGCATGTTTCCGTCAACCGCAACACGAAAAGCTGAAAACGGGAAAAAGTGCCCCCAGCGTTTTTTTAAGAGCAACTAAGGTTCTGCCTAAGTTTCGGCGGAGAGCTGGGATCACTCGTCAGCTCGGCCTCGGTCATACAGTACTCGCGCTGCCGTCGCGTTTCGGGTTACGTGTGTGTCGACCTTGTCGGCTTCGGCACCGCCTGTATCCGAGGCTATGCCTCCTCTCGGCCTCGCTCTGAGGCTCCGCCGCTTCCTCCCTCCTCTTCTCTGCCTAATTCAAGCTTCGCGCGGCCCGCTTAGCTTCGACCGGAAGAGGTGCGCTCTCGACCCGCGGATCAAAAAAGTTTGTGTCGACCCTTGGCCGAGAGGGGCGTCAAGGAGTCCTGGACGCCGAGGATCCCGTTTCGGCGGGGGGGGGGGGTCTGCACCCCACGGACCAGTATAATATGGATAAACATATAGACATTGAGAAAGCTTGACGGCCAGTGCGGCCAGCCCTGAAGGGGGACGACGACGACGACGACGACGACGACGACGACGACGACGACGACGACGACGACGACGACGAGGACGAGGACGACGACGACGACGACGACGCTGACGTTCGGGAGCCTTTCTTAGGTCTCTCTTGGAAGCCTCTTGGCCTCTGTTGGGGGGCCCCGTGGGGGACGTCTTGGCGCCGCTTCGGGGAGGCCCCATGGCCTCTTGGAAGCATGCGGGGGATGCGCAGCACCCCGCAACAGCAGATGAGAGTGAGGAGGATGCCTCCGGGGGAGGGTCGGGAGGAGGGGGGGCCCTTGTCCAGGGGAGTGGGGAGGGGTCTCGAGCTCCCCCGTCCACAGGGAGACCGCCCCCGTGCCCTTCTTGTCCATGGGGGGGACCTTCCAGGGCCCTGGGAACCCCCCTGGACCCCCTCCCCGCGACCCCCCTCCCCGCGACCCCCACCCCACGGCAGGGAAGGGATCAAAGGGAAGGGGATTCCTTTGCGGATGAAGTGCGACGTTGTTCGATTTCCGTCTGGCTGGATCGCTGGAGGAGGGGGGCCCCAGGGAAAGGGCGGGAGCGGCGACGGCGAGGACAACGATTTGACAGAAAAACGTCTCACACACGATGACGGGGTCGGCGGACCCCCCCCCCCCCCCCACACACACACACACACACACACACACACACACACACACACACACACACACACACACACACACACACACACACACACACACACTCACACACACGCACACACGCACACACACACACACTCACATACACACAAACACACACATACAAGTACATACATCTACACACATATATATATATATATACATACATATATATATGTATGTGTAAAAGTGTGCACAATCATATATATATACACATATGTGTAGATATATAGAGAGAGAGACGTGCTGATGCCCTCGACGAGCTGCACCAAAATGAAGTGGAGCACATCTCCTTTGCTCTGAAACCTGTATAGTGTGCCACGGAATCTGGCGAATACTGTGGTGTCGTTGCATGTTGAGCCTTTTTGCCGCAGCGGCGCGACCGTCATGACGGCGCCACACTGGGTTCGCAGGGAGTGTCGCAACGGCGCCTCGGCTGTCGTGCACCATGGCCCTTCAGCATTTCTGGCGTACCCCGTGGCCGTGCTTTGCGGGAGGCGCATCCTGTACTGTCGACCGCTCCGCGCACTTTGGACCTGTCCGGCGCTGGGCCTTGCCGCTTCCAGGGAGCACGGCGCGCCTGCGTTTCCGCACCGAGTAGTCGATGCTTGGCATCGAGCCTCGCCGCCTCCAGAATGCACGGATGTGAGCACTGGGAGCCGTCCATACCCCGAGCAAAACATATGTAGAGACAGGGACAGAGAAGGAGTGAGGGAGGGAGGGAGGGAGGGAGGGAGGGAGGGAGGGAGAGAGAGAGAGAGAGAGGGGGGGAGAGGGAGAGAGAGAGAGAGAGCAAGATACATGACTAGAGAGAGAAAGAGAGAGGAGAAAGAGATCGAGAGAGAGATAGATAGATATATAACAACAACAACAACAACAACAACAACAACAACAACAACAACAACAACAACAACAACAACAACAACAACAACAACAACAACAACAGCAAGAGAGACAAGTATAGAAAGAGAGGGAGAAGGAGAGAGCGGGAGATACCGTGAACCATTTTTCCTCCTCTTCCTCCTTCTCCAACTGACTGTGTTCCGTCTCCTCCTCCTCATCATCATCATCATCATCATCACCCTCCTCCTCCTCCTCCTCCTCCTCCTGCCCCTCCATGCTCGGAGCAGACATCCTTGCACGCCATGCCCCGGGGGGATCCCCGGGGGCCACCTGTCCCAGAGTTGGGCGGGTGCCAGGGGGGCTGCGGTGAGAGCGAGGGAAGGGGAGGGAGGGAGGAACAGAGGAGGGACCGAGGAGTGAGGGGGGATGAGCAGAAATATCAGTCGGCGTGACGAGGAAGGCAAAGGAGGAAGAGGAGGACGAGGAGGAGGAGGAGGAGGAGGAGGAGGAGGAGGAGGAGGAGGAGGAGGAGAAGGAGAAATGACTGGAAAAAGTGGGGCAGGGATGGACGAGAAGAGGGAAGAAGAGATGAGACGTGGGGGGTGGAGGGAGGAGGGAGGAGGACGAGGAGGAGGGAGGAGAGGAATGAAGAGGAAGGAGAAAGACAAGGAGGAATAGGAGGACGAAGATGAGGACGATGAGGACGAGGAGGGAGAAGAGGAAGGATAATGGGAGGAGCAGGAGAGGAGGAGGAGGAGGAGGAGGAGGAGGGAGGAGGAGAGGAGGACAAGGAGCAGAAGGACGAGGACAGGAGGACGAGGAGCAGGAGCAGGAGGAGGCAGAGGAGGAGGAGGAGGGGGAGGAGGGGGAGGAGGGGGAAGAGCAGAAGGAGGAGGAAGAGCAGGCTGAAGATCAGGTGGACGAGAACGAGGACGAGCAGGAGTAACGAGTCAGCGGTCGGATGGCGAGGCTCCAGCAGAAGCGGCGGTCCTGCCGAGGACGGCTGCGTGCTCGTCTGGAACTTCTTCGAGCTGTGACGGGCGTCCCTGTCCCCTCGCTCTGGCCGCCTTCCCTGAGAAGGGTGAGCAGCGGAAATCCCCGTCAGAAGAGGAGGAGGAGGAGGAGGATAATGAGGAGGAGGAGGAGGAGGAGAAGGAGGACGAGGAGAAGAAACATCTTCATGCATTGTATGGCAATGAAAGTTGTATGCAGGAGGGAGGAGGCGAAGGGAAGGTAGGAGGTGTAGAAGAGAGGAGAGGAGGAAGGGCAGCAGCAGGGGGACGACCAGGAGGCCAGGGGTATCAGATGTCTCCCCCTCCTCCTTCACCCCCTTTGCTCCCTCCTCTCCCCCCCCTCCTCCTCCTCCTCTCCCCCCCCTCCTTTTCCCCTCCCCCCCCTTTCCTCCTCCTCTTCCCCCTCCTCCTTCACCCCCTTGCTCCCGCCTCTCCCCCCCCTTCCTCCTCTTCCCCTCCCACCTCCCGCCCCCTCTCGCCTGTTTCTCCCCCTGTTGACCCCGCCGGACCACGACTCGGGCCTCGGGCAGCCGCTCGGGGCACGACTCCGGCAGTCCCGGAACGCCCTCGACGGGGTGCAGCTGCCTGAGACCACTCCAGGCTCAGAACATGTTTGAAATTTCCCAGCAACAGTCAGAAACCATCTGACACGACCATCCTGCCCTTCCCCCTTCCCCCATTCCCACCTCGCCGCTTCCCGCTCTCGCCCTCTCCTCTCCCCTCCGCCCATCCCCTTCTCTCTCCATCCTCTCTTCTCTCTCTCTCTCTCTCTCTCCCTCTCTCTCTTTCTCTCCCTCCCTCTCTCTTTCTTTCTTTTTTTTTCTCTCTCTCTCTCTCTCTCCATCTCTCTCTCTCACACACTCTGTCTCTCTCTCTCTCTCTCTCTCTCTCTCCGGGAAGACTTGCCCTGAAAACCACAGGAGACGTCAGACCATCTTCAATCCCACCCACCCACTAGCCGCCTCCTGCCCTCCCCTCTCCCCCCCCCTCCTCGCCTCCTCCCCTCCCGCCTCCTCCTTCCCTCCTCCCCCGTGCCCTCCAATACCTTATCCCCGTCGTCGTCTTGTTTGTCGTCCTCGCCGGCGTCGTTCGTCTTCGTCTTGGCCGTCGTCGTCGGTGGCCTTTTCTTTTTCTGGACCTCGTGCCCCTCTGCGGGCGCCTGCGTGGACTACCTAGAACCCTAGAGCCCTCCCTCATCCCTCCCCTTCTCCAGACATGTGATTTGTTCTGCAGCACGGGCCCCCAGAGGTCTGTACCACCCCTTCTCCAGGACCAGTTTTGTCGTCCCGGGTCGCTTTCTGACAGTCCTCTGACCCGGCAAGGTAATCGCGACGTTGTGACGACGTGAGGGGTTTTGGGCTGCCTTCGCTTATTCCCTCTCGCCCTCCCCGTCTCCCTCCCCTCCCCCCCCTTCTGCCCCCCCCCCCCTCCCCCTCCTCTCCTCCTGCACCTCCCTTCCCCTCCCCTCCCCCTCCTTGCCTCCTCCCGCCCTTCCGCCCCCCCTCCCTTCCCCTCCCCTCCTGCCCTCCAGCTCCCCCCCCCGCACCCTCCCCCTTCCTCTCCCTCCCGCCCTCCCCAGCCCGGCCTCCTGCCCCTGCCCGCCCCCCTCCCCCGCCGACCCCCCCCCTGCTGGAGGAGGGCGGCGGCGACCTGGCCTGCGCGGTGGGCGGCGCCCTTGCCGCCCGCCCCGCCCCTCCCCCCCCCCACGCGCCCCTTGCTTCGGGCCGCGCGGTCGGTCGCCCGCCCTGGGGGCCAGAGGGGGGCTCCGCCTCCCTCTTCTCTCTCCCTGCCTCCCTCATCCGTCCATTTCCTCCTCGTTCTCCTTCCTTCCCTCCTCCTCCTCCTCCTTTTCCGACTCTTCTTCCTCCAACTCCTCCTCCTTCTTTCCTTCTTCCCTCCCTTCCTTCCTTCCTTCCTTCCTACCTTCTGTCCTTCCTTCCCTCCGTCCGTCAATCCTCCGTTTCGCGTTCCTCCTCCTCCCTCCTCCTTCCCTTCCTTCTTTCCTTTCTTCTTCTTTCTTCGTCGTCGTCCTCATTCTGGAAGGGGGAGTCGGGTAGGAGGAGGGAGGAAGGAGGTGGAGGGATGGAGGGAGGGAGGGAGGGAGGGAGGGAGGGAGGAAGGGAGGGAGGGACGGATGATGCGGAGGAGGAGCAGGAAGAGAAGGAGGAGGAGGAGGAGGAGGAGAAGGAGGAGGAGAAGGAGGAGGAGGAGGGGGAGGAGGAGGAGGAGGAGGAGGAGGAGGAGGAGGCGGAGGAGGAGGAGGAGCAGGACGTAGAGGACGAGGGAGAGAGGGAGGGTGGGTGAGGGAGGACGGTAGAGGGTGTGACAAAAGGCGTAGGGGGAGGAGGATGAGGAGAAAGGAGGTGGATTTGAGGAGGCGAAGGGGAGGAGAGAGGTCGCGAACACCCTGACGGTGCACAATCCGTCGGATAGCGCACTGGCTGAGGAGGAGGAGGGGAAGGAGGAATTGTTCCCGGGCAGTTGTGGGCCAGCGGAGCAGCCAAACAGTCGCCCGGCAGGCCAGAAACGACCGAAGTCGGCTGGAACGAGAGGAGGAGGAAGAGGACCAGTCCAGTCCATTCCAGTCCATTCCACTCCAATGCGCTTATCCCGAAATGCGGCGAGCGCAGCAGCGAGACCATGCTGGAAGACGGAAGACGCGCCGACGAGAAGTTCCTCGATATGGAACACCACACATCAACATTTCAAACAGCGAAAGTGATAGTTGCGCGTTAGATGCGGGATGACGTTGCCAGGGGAGACGCGGGGACGGTACAAGTTCGCAGTGCGTAGATGATCGTAGATGTAGAGAGGCATTGTCAAGAGGAGAGGCAGGAGTGAAGGGAGGACGAGGAGGTGGAGGAGGAAGATGCCCCAAAGGGACCTGTAGGGTACATGGCAGTTTTTAATACATGCTCCGCGTGCGGATCATGTATTGACAATGCAGCGATTTAGAATTAAAAACAACGATGAATTCATGCATACGTTTATTCCGAAATAAATCATGTAATCATGTACCAAAAATCCGATTTAAAATATCCAATTTACTAAAAACTGCCCTGTAGGATGACCCTTGGCCCCCCCCCCTGGGAGGCTCTCCTCTACCTCCACCTCCGCCGCCTCCCCTTCGTCCCCCATCCCCCATCCCATTCCCTTATGACAGCCAGCCCTTCGTCGTTCCACCAGACCTGTTTGTAGGTCGGGCTGTGCGTTTCATTTCCAACACAGAGATGGAGGGCCGGTCGTCGTAAAAATACGAATCTTGCCTCAGCGCCGCGCACTTTATTTTTTGTCTGCCAACTGTTACATGGATGAAGTGCCGCTCGTTCTCAGCGCCGCGTACATTCATTGCCAAATTTTCCAACCGCGTGTTGTCCAAGTTCCAACCGCTACGAGGACGGAAAGCGGCTCGATGAGAAACACGTCTTATCGTTGCAGATTTCCTCAGTTCAGATGTTCCGAAATTCAGATTGCGCATCATTTACAAGTATGGAGGGCAGCACATTCTCAAAAAGGGGCATCGCTTGAGACCCCCCGCAAGTTGCATTACCAGATTCTTCAGCACCTTCACGAATGGAGAACAGATCCTCACCACAATACTCAACGCTTCGCGTATCCCGACCAACTGGCTGCAGGTGTCCTTTCTCCGCGGCCATCCTGGGCGCCCCTGAGGTTGGCCTGCTATCCCCTTCCAGTTCGGGTTGCCCCTGGGTTCTTGGGCCTGCGACCCGCCTGAGTCTGCTGCCTCCGCCCGCTCGGGGTTGACGGACGCTTGCTCCTCCTCCACGTCGCCTCCCCCAGGGTCGGCTTGTACCCCTGGCTTTGGCGCCGCCGCCTCCAGCACAGGGAGTGGCCTTTTCCGCTGGCTCGTCGCCTTCGCTGCTCCTGTGTTGCCCTGGCGACGCTTCTCCTGCTCCCCCCCGCTATGGTGGCACTTCCGCCGCTGGCACGCTCAGGCTCTTGGCGATCCGGACCCCTTCCGTTGAGCGCCTGCACGCCTGTTCGTCGTCCTCTTCGGCTGCGTCACGGTGGTCTTCGAGTTCGTCGGTTTCTTGCTCATCGCCTTTTTGGCGCTGCACGTCGACCTGGAGCCCTTCCTGGTCCTCCGCGTTTTCTGGGCCGCAGCGTAGTTCGTTCCTGTGCGCTCGGTGCGTCATTTAGGCCGTTGGTGCGTAATTTAGGCCGTTGCATTGCTGCTTCGTTCTGACGGCGCGCGGCTGTACCGCTTGCGTTCGCGACAAAAAAATCCCCACCAGCCCATCTAGGAACGATGCCTAGGGGAGCTGGTTATCGGGGGAGCGTGGCATCATGTCGACACCTATGGGAGCCTGATTGAATTAGGGGCCTCTTGGAAGCCTCACGGAGTCGCTTGGCGTGTTTGCCTACCTCTGAGGGCGTCTTGGGGGCCTCTTGAAGAATCTTGCGGGGGCGTCTTGGGGCCTCTGCATCCTGGGGCCTCTGGGGCCTTTCTTAGGGCCCTCTTCGGAGCCTTCTTGGGACAATCTGGGAAGATATCGATAAAAGACAGGGCGGGTCCCGATTAGGGTTCCCTTCTGGAGCCCCGAAGGTCTTTTTGTTGGGGCGCTCGTGGGCGTTCTTGGGGCAATATTGGGGCCCTATTGTGCCCCTCTTGTGGCCCTCTTGGGCCATCTTGGAGCCACCAGAAACTAGAATATGAGAAGGCAACAAACGGTTGACTTCCCGTAGGTTTTGGAAGGATGTTGACCTCTTACGGGCATATTGGGGAAGCATTGAAGCTATTTGGGCCCGCCTTGGAACGGTCTTGGGAATTCTTGGAGTATGTTTGAAGCCATCTAGAGCAACCTCGCGCTATCTTGAACCATTTTGGAGGCTATCTTGGGTGATCTGGGGCCCTCTTGGACTCATTTTGACTGGTCTTGGGCCCTTTGACCGGTCGCCGGCCCCCCGTCCAGGCCGTGGGGGAGGGGGTAGAGGGAGGGGTCAAATCCCAGTGGGGGCGCCGCAAGCTGTCTCGCTTATTCCCACCCGCCCTCCCACGACAAAATAGCGCCCGAGTCTCAGCATAACCAGGGGCCGCCATCGACAAACATCGATAACCAATGCAGACGCCGGCCAGGTACGC